CAGGCGGATCTCTGTGAGTTTGAGGCCAGCGTGGTCTACAGAGTGAGTTCCAGGACAGCCTCCAAAACAATACAGAGAAACCCTGTCTGGAAAAACAAAACAAAACAAAAATAACCCTTTTAGTTAAAGGCACTAAGTGTAAAGCATCCACTTAGGAAAGAGATGTCAACCTGGGGGCTAGGGAGGTGAGCTTGCTGTAAAAGCAAGAGGAGCTGAGCTAAATCACAAGCACCACACAAAACCCAGACAAGGCACCATGCCTGTTGCCCCTTTAAAAACAGTAGAGCCTGGCATTAGTGATTCACACCTTTGATCCCGGCACTCGGGAGGCAGAGGCAGGTGGATCTCTTGAGTTGGAGGCCAGCCTGGTTTACAGAGTGAGTTCTTGGACAGCCAGGCCTGTTACATAAAGAAACCCCCGTCTTGGAAAACCAAATAAATAAATAAACCAACAAGAGTGAAATGGATTCAATCAAGGCTTTGATTGTATTTCTACAACAGCTTGGCTGTAATAACTTGTAATTACTTGGCTGTAATAACAAAACTTTGTTTTGTCTTGTTTTGGAGACAAGGTCTCACTATGTAACCTTAGCTGGCCTGGAACTCATGAAGATGGAGATCCACCTGCCTCTACCTCTACTAAAGAGGTCCATGGGTCCTCAGAGATCATTAGTCTGCCAGTCTAACAAACCCGGTGCTTCTCTCATTTGGGGAGAGACCTTGCTGCAACAACTGAAGTGGAGAGTGGTGTAGGAAGCACCTCATGCCCTCTGCTGGCCTCTGCGAGCTTGTGCTTGGACATGTGTGTTCACACACAGTATCAGCCTGGGGAACATGGGTTAAGTTTGTTTAGTTTTGTTTGGGGAGGGGTCTTGCTTTGTTTTTATAGGGAGTCTTGCTAGTACTGATCTTTCTTACAAGTACGGGATTATAGGCATGAGCTAAAAACCATTCCTGGCTAAAAACTTACTTTTGATTTAAAAAAAAAAAAAAGATTCAGTGAAGTACATTCTACCAAGACTTTGATTGTATTTATTCAACAGCATGACTGTAATCTGGTTTGGAATTTGAGACACGGTCTCAGACTCACTTTGTAGACCAGGCTGGCCTGGAACTCAGAGAGATCCACCTGTTTCTGCCTTTCAAGTGCTGGTATTAAAGGAATGTACCACCATGCCTGGTACATAGCTATAATTTAATAAAATATTTGTGTATTGAATAATACATAGGAAATGGAACTATTTCTCCCAGTGTTCTAGTTTTAAACTGTAGATTAAAAAAAAAAAAAAACTAAAGAACAGAATAGTGCTTTGTGAGTTACATATGTATTACAATCTTGATTGTGCAATTGGAGTATTGTTTAATTTTTTCTCATATTCTCCTAAATAGCCATGTTTCTAGTATAGTTAACACCTTTCCATTATCTAAATTCTTGGTCTTTAAGATAAGCATAAAGTTCAGTATATATTTTGAAATAAGTAAAACAAACTCTTTTTAATTTAGTGGTTCTTAATCTTTTTTAGGGGGAAGAGTCAAAAAACCTTACCTAAGCCATTCTCTTGCCAGCACAAAAATGTTCATATATATAGAATTTTTGTAATTTTTTTTTTACAGTGGATGTTTTCCCTGAATCCAGGTGCCTCTGCTATATGCTCTCCCTCTTATGTGTGTGTGTGTATGTTTACATCATACATTTTAACAAACAATCTGTGTTTAACATGTGCTTTTAAAAAGAGTCGATGATCTCATTATACAGGAGGCTCTCTGGAAAGTTGCTCTACAAAACTGTAGTAGAACTAACTCTTAGATATTTCTTGGCCTTGCTTACATGTGTAAGCTGATTTTGCCGGAATTGTCTGATGTATATGTGGTATAAGCTATATTTTTCTTTTCTTATTCTAGATTCAGAAGAGGCTCATTCTGTAAATCCTTCTAGTGTTGATGAAAATATTGACTCAGAACCAGAGAAAGACCCTTTCATCTGTGAAAGTAAAGTTCTCCCAAGTAAAGCCCCGCTCCCATCTGCTTTGGATGAGTACGAGTTCAAAGACGATGACGAAGAAGAGATAGGTCGGATGATCGACGACAGGCATATTCTTAGAAAAGAGCAACGAAAAGAGAGTGAATTGGAAGCAGAAAAGAGTGGTTTGTTTGCAAAACAGGAGAAAGCCTTCTATTGTAAATCATTTAAAGCTAAGAAGCAGAAGCCGTCGAGGGTTCTGTATTCCAGCACCGACAGTTCTGATGAAGACCTTCTCCAGGGCAGCAAAAGGGCTTCTACTACATGTTCTGTCCCTGAAACATCCAGTGCTGACACGCAAGCCAGAAGAGAATATGAATATAAACAGAAAGGCAAAGTGAAGAGGAAATTAAAAAACCAGAATAAAAACAAAGAGAACCAAGAGCTGAAACAAGAGAAAGAGGGGAAAGAAAACACCAGAATAACAAACTTGACAGTTAATACTGCACTGGATTGTTCAGAGAAAACCAGAGAGGAGGGCAATTTTAGGAAATCTTTTAGCCCAAAAGATGATACTTCGCTACACTTATTCCATATTTCCACTGGTAAATCTCCCAAACATGCTTGTGGATTAAGTGAAAAACAGTCCACACCACTAAAGCAAGAACATACGAAAGCATGTATCTCTCCAGGGAGCTCTGAAATGTCGCTACAGCCCGATCTTGCTCGGTACGATACTACAGAACCTGAATTCTTACCAGAAAACACAAATTTAAAATCCTATAAGCATAAGGAAAAAAGCAAACATCAGAAAGATTTCCACCTAGAATTTGGTGAAAAATCTAATGCCAAAATGAAAGATGAGGATCACAATCCAACCTTTGAAAACTCAGAGTGCACGCTGAAGAAGATGGATAAAGAGGGTAAGACACTGAAAAAACACAAGCTGAAGCATAAAGAGAGGGAGAAGGAGAAGCACAGAAAGGAAGCTGACAGTGAGAAAGAAAAATACAGAAACAAGGGTAACCCTGAAGAGCTGCAGAGGGGCATTGAGTTTGACAGAGAGTTTTGGAAAGAGAATTTTTTTAAAAGCGATGAAACTGAAGATCTCTTTTTAAATATGGAACATGAGTCCCTAACAGAAAAAAAGTCAAAACTGGAAAAAAACATGAAAGATGACAAATCAACTAAAGAAAAACATGTCTCAAAAGAGAGGAGCTTTAAAGAAGAGCGGGAAAAGACTAAAAAGGAAAGTGAAAAATCTCTTAGGGAGGAGAAGCTGAAAGAAGACAGAGACAGCATGTCCACAGAGAAAGACGTGGAGTGTGGTTCTGTGGGCATCGCTCTAAACCAGGAGTCTGTCGGGCCACACTCAGCTGAAAAGGAGATGGACATTGAGAAACAAGAAAAGCATACGAGAGAAAGGGAAAAGTCTGACAGAAGATTTCAAACTAAGGAAAAAGAGGTGGAGAAAACTGAAAGAAAATTTTCAGAAAAAGAAAAGAAGATGCGACATGAACATAAGTCAGAAAAGGAGAAATGGGACTTTAGTGAGAATGTTGACAGAATCAAAGAGAAGGACAAGCTGTGGTCACAGCAGACAGAGAGGTGTCAGAAAGAGGGGGAGAAGACAAAAAACACGGTTAAAAAAACTGATGACAGAGAGAGAAACAGAGAAAAAGTGGATAGAAAGCATGACAAAGAAAGGCCTGAAAAAGAGAGATGTTTAGCAGAAAGCAAAGAAAAGCACTTGGAGAAAAAAAAGTGTGATAATAGTGAGTATACTAAGTCAGAAAAGGCCAGAAATAAAGACAGGGAAGGAGAGAAGAAGGAAAAATTCAGAGATAAAGAAAGTATAAACATAACCAACTCCAGACATTTACAAGAAGAAAAAAGGTCAAGTATAGGAGACAGTAGTAGTAAAATCCAGCATGAGAAAACTGTGTCCCTTAAAGAAAAGGCAAGGGATGAACCTTTGAAAACTCCAGATGGCAAAGAGAAAGATAAAAAAGATATAGACAGATACAAAGAACGAGACAAACGTAAAGATAAAATCCAACTAAATACTCTAATCAAGCTAAAGTCTGAGACAGATAAGCCTAAACCTAAATCATCACCAGCCTCAAAAGACACTCGCCCTAAGGAAAAGCGGTTAGTGAATGATGACTTAATGCAGACAAGCTTTGAACGGATGCTCAGCCTTAAAGACCTAGAAATAGAACAGTGGCACAAGAAACATAAGGAAAAAATTAAGCAAAAAGAAAAGGAACGATTAAGAAATCGTACTTGTTTAGAGCTTAAAGTAAAAGATAAAGATAAAACAAAGCATACACCCACTGAATCAAAAAGTAAAGAATTTGCCAGATCAAGAAGTTCAGAACTGACTGATGCTTATAACAAGGAGAAGCAATCTAAAGATGCTGGCAGTAACCGGTCACAATGTGTTGACAGCAAGAATGTGCTGAATTTAGGGAAGTCACCCTTTATTCCAGAGAACAGCTCAAACCGCTCTCCTCGCTCGGAAAGTGAGAGGCTGGGCCTGAGCTCCAGATCTGTGTCCATGATTTCTGTTGCTAGTTCAGAAGATTCTTGCCACACAGTGACGACCCCCCGGCCTCCTGTTGAATATGACTCTGACTTTATGTTGGAGGGCTCAGAATCTCAATTGTCATTTTCCCAGTCACCTTTTCTGCCAAATGCCAAATCTCCAGCCCTTTATGAAAGGGAGCTGGAGAGCCTTGCTGACCTGCCGGAACGACTTAAAGCACCATGTACAAACAGAGTTCCGGTGTGCCATCTCAGGTCATCTTCCGTGGAAGATGTCAAAGTAATTCCTAGTGAGGCACGGCCTGCTGTAGAAATCAGAAGATGCAGCATGCCCTCAGTCATTTGTGAACCCACAAAACATTTCCAGATACCGGAAGAAAGCGCCCAAGGCAGCTTAGCTGTGCCACGAGAGACCTGTCCTTCTCCCAAACCTGAAGTGTCTTCAGCAGTGCCAGAAAGAGGGCTTCCACATGTGTCTGAGTTCCACCCCAACTTGGCCGGCTCTCCAACTAGGTCTGTAAACAGCAGGTACATTTCATCTGATACAAACGTAATCAAGAGTGTCAGTCTTGTGGGCACTTTAATGGACAGTCCGATGAACTTGGAACCTTCTAATCAGGTTGGAGTGATCCAGAACAAATCCTGGGAGATGCCTGCTGAAAAACTGGAGTCTTTAAGCACCAATGACTTGATCTGCCCAGACCCTAGCACATCTGATCAGGATTCCTCTGCTCAGAGCTTCTGTCATTCAGAAAACAAAACGTTAAGAGAACAGAATACTGACTGCTTATCCTCACCGCAGACTGAAATGCCAGGAAAGTCGTGTGCTCAGGATGCAGCGTCTCTTCTGTCCTCACTGCAACCCTGCTCCTTTTCCAACCAGGCGCATTCAGATGCTGAGTCAGCTTCGAAAGCTGTGTCTTTGTCATGTGGTGCCAGCCAAGAGCCAGGTGTTTTACAAGAGAGAAATGCAGGGCATGTGATTAGCTCTGTTTTAGATAGCGATAATAACTTTACAAAGGAGATGGAAAATGCATTTGTCCTAGCAGATATTCAGAAGACTAATTCTTTTGTACCAGTTTACTCTGAAAGCACTGTTCAAGAAACACTCGCAAGCTTTGAGAAGGCAAGCACTTTACTTGTATTGCCGTCAGGAAAGGACTTCAGTGGAAGCGATGGTGCTTCTCAGATGAGTACACAGTATACCTTTAGCAAACTCACTTACAAGTCTTCCAGTAGCCACCAAGTCGAGAAGAGCATAGATGATACTCAAGTTACCTCACATGAAAAAGAAAAGAGACTGCAGGGTTTGGTCTTGACTCAGTTGAGTAAATGTGACTCTGATTTGTACGGAATGGATGCAGGGATGCCCAAAGGAAGCCTCAGTGACCAGGACCCTGCAAAGCACAGCCCTGGCAGTGAAAAGTACTTGCTTCCCATTGAAGATGAGGAATCCCAGCAGAGCCCTTTGTCAAGTGTGGAGAGCCATTCGCAGCCCTCAGCTCAGCCGGAGTTGCACAAATACGACCAGCTCACCAAAGGAGACTTAGAAGAAAGTGCTGAAGATGATAAAACTGAAAACCAGCACCCCCAAAGACTGACTAGAAACAAAGTGAGCCCAGTGGTCAGTCAGAGCAAGCAGATTCTTGCTGGTTGTACACTCTTGCCAGAAAAAGACAGCGACTCCTCCCCGAGGGGAAGAATAAGGCTCACTGAAGACGACGACCCTCAGATTCACCATCCACGGAAGAGGAAAGTGTCCCGGGTTCCTCAGCCTGTGCAAGTGAGCCCCTCTTTACTGCAGGCAAAGGAGAAGACTCAGCAATCTCTTGCAGCCATTGTAGATTCTCTAAAACTAGATGAGATACAACCATACAGTTCTGAGAGAGCAAATCCATATTTTGAATATTTGCACATCAGGAAAAAAATTGAAGAAAAACGCAAGTTACTATGTAGCGTTATTCCTCAAGCTCCTCAGTATTATGATGAATATGTAACATTTAATGGATCATATCTCCTGGATGGAAACCCCTTAAGCAAGATTTGTATTCCTACAGTAAGTCAATTGCCACTCGATCCACACCTGCGGCACCCCTGGGGGGTGTAGTGTAGCTCAGTGGTAGTGTCCTTGTCTCACATGCAGAAACCTTGCTTTCAGTCTTTAGTACTGGGGCGGAGGGGGTTGGGAATTTTGTATATGCAAGCTGCATACATAATTTCAAGTTTTCTAGTAGTTAATATTTTAAAATTAAAAAAAATACCCTTGTAGATGAATTTTACAAATGTTAAGTCAGTATATCCAATGTATTACTTCAGTATATAATCAAAATACAGTTATGTAAGCTGTCTTACTTCTTTTTTCTGCTGACTCTGTGAAGTCTGATGTACTTACTGTACATGCTGAGTCTCCACGTATCACAAAGTAGCTTCCTTATCAGGTATCATGTGTTGCTTTTCCTCACCTGCTCATCCTTTTGTTTCAAAGGAGACCAGGTTTTGAGTTCTTTGAAGAAGAATGCCTCTGCATGGACTTGATCCCATTATTTCGTCTTCTCTGGAACTTTCCTCTACTAAGTACTTTTCACTAGTGTTTTTTTTCCAGCCTCCTTTCTTGATTGGCCTATGTTGCCCACTCTGAATGTATATGGGTTACTTCTGTCTTAGAGAAAAAAAGCCTCCCTTGACTTTCCCAGCTCATCAACCTTACACTGTCTGTCACCTTCAATACCATGGTTGTGCAAAGTAATTTGTGTGTGACAATTTTTCAACTTCATCTCATGCTCACTCTTGAGCCAATATGACATAACATGGATCATCACTGAGCTGTCAGGTTGGTTGAATTATTTTTGTTCTGTTTGGTCTGATTTGACATCATAACCATCTTGTTCTCACTAAATTCTCCCATCATGGGCTTAAGTACTTGTTTATTCTTCTGGTTCCTCTGCCTTATTGGCTGATTTTTCTGTCCTGTCAACTAAAATAAACAGTAAATGTGTTGGTTGCCTCCCCTGTCTTCCAGGTCTCTGTATTGCCCCGGTGGTGTGCTGACTTCGTTACCACCTTGGATACTCAGATATAGGAATATTGCATATTCAAATATTTATCACGTTATATATACAAATGATAAGTGTATGCTAAGCATTGTGCTAGGAACCAGATGTCAGAGATGAACAAGATAGACATTCCAAATTGCTGCCGCAGCTGCCGTGTTTTCTCAGCCCAGCTTCATGATAGTCTGCGTTTCCTTACTGTGACACACAAGATGCTTCCTTGGCTAGGCTTGATCCTTGTACACCTCGTGTACAAGAAGGCTACACTGGAATCCCCTGACATAGCTACTGGTTTGCCAAATGTCTTTATATGTTCTATCTTTTGATCTGGTACCTTTTAAATGGATGAAAACAGATACTTAACATTATCAGAGAAGTGATGCTGGTGCATTTCAAATCTTAACAGATTAGGTTTAAATAGCAATAGTAGTAGACTAATGAGAAGTAAATTTGTTATTGATACAAAAGTCCATTGTTAATAATTAAAAATTCATCTAATAGTTTTTGGGTTGTTGCCCAATTTTTATTTCATCTTAAAAGGCAAAATATTTTAATGGAAATTATGTAGGCTCAGACTCTTAAGATAAAAAAACACGTTATGTTAAGACTTTGTAAGCTTGCTAAAAGTACTTAGAAGTAAACTCTTGGTCAACTCACTCCTGAAAAATGATGTAATGTAAGTGTGTTCCCTTGGAGCAGTGCAGAAAGACTCTTTGTTAAATTAGAACCCATTGTTTCAAATACTGCTTTAAAAGAGATGGGTGATAGAGACTGGATGTAGCGTGGTTTTTGTCTTCAATGAAGGTTATCACAGTGAAGGAGCACAGAGCTGTGAGGTACACAAGAGTCCTCTTAGCATTCACAAATGAGGTACCTAAGCCTCACGGCACACTAGGAGTTTGTGTAGTTTCAACTGAGTGACTCCGCTTGTCTTCTGATCCTCTCTCTCCTGTACTGTTTCTCGAATGTACTTGTCTCTTCCTTCAGAATGCTCACTTAGCACCCTCTCAGAGCCGCCACCTCTAGCAGCCCAGGCCTTTGAGTGATGTTCCTCTGTGTTCCTTGAGACAACCGCATACCTACAGGAGGTGCTAGGTTTAAAACAACAGCATCAGACTCATTTTTCTAAATGAATGTTAGGGAATTTTCAGTTCACAACACACACACACATACACACACAAAAAATGTATTTTTGCAGTTAGAGGCATGAGCAACCATCCCAAATAAGCTGTTTGTAGATGTCTGTGCTGTTCTGAGGAGACCTTTTGGTAACATCTTCTATGTTTGGTTCCTCAGAATTCCTTCGTCTTATGACCACTGTAACACCACCATAGGGATTTGATGTCCTGCTTTCTAATGGAGTCAACAAACTGTCACATGTTAGGAGATAACTTACTTTACCCTAGTAAACCAATAGTAGCCATAAACAAGGATATGAAAAGGAAAATCCAGATGCCTTAAGGAGAAGAGAGGATATTCAGGGTCATAGATTGTTGCCAGACTTGCCTGTCTACATTAATAGTAAATTGCCAACTTCCTCTGGAATTAATCAGAAAGCATAGTCCAATGTAATACCAAGTTAGAAGTGAACTCATATCGCACACATAAAGTTCATTACATAGTTTTACCTACTTTTATATGACAGAGTCGACTAACCCCGAGGCTTTTCTGTTTCATTCTTATCTACAAAGAGGCTTTGCTTATTAAACTGGAACCCTGCTGCTGTCTCCTAGAACTTTCTATTTGTATTTCATGCCAGCTTTTCTGTTTTAGTGGCTCCTCTATCTCTTCCTGTCTGGGAGTTGTAATTAACTTTTTAGTCCTAATAATTTACTCTTTGAAATTTTTCTGTGGCCTAAGAGTCAAAACATCTTAGCATAATGGAATGTCCTGCAAGGTTTCAGGCAATTGGAACTGACTGAAAAGTCTCACTCAGTTGTGTAATGGCTGTTTTCGTCAGACAGATTCACTGTATCAAATAAGCTGACAGTGTTAAGTCTGCCTGAAAGATTCTGTGGTTCATTTCAGTGTTTTCTGAGTCCATTGCTCTAGGTCATGTTAGTGGGGGCATGCTGTGAGGCTCACCACCTCATGGCAGCCCAGAAGGGAAACGGGAAGACAGACCTCACCTCCTTCTGCCAGGTCTCTCTCTGCAGGCCCACCAACTTGCAGTACTTGATTCTAATTTTGTGTTGAACAAACTTGCTTTTGATTAAACGGTTGATGAGGGCAGAGCCCTCATGTTCTGATTGTCTGGGGGGGAGGCGCTTCTCTTGTCAGGCTCATAGATCTAGGGAGAAGAGCCTCCTCCCTCAGACTGGCTTTCGGGCATACCTATGGGGCATTTCTTCACTGGTAATTGATGGAGGAGGATCCAGCCCACTGTGTGGTACCATCCCTAGACACATAGGTCTTGTCTGTGTAAGAAAAATGGCTAATCAAGTCAGGAGGCAGCATACCGCCATTGGTTTCCCTCGATGCTGAACTGTAAACCATAAGCCAAAAAAACCCTTCCCTCCTTTTGGTCAGTGTTCTATCACAGCAGTAGAGAAGAAAACTAAGCTATTACTTCTATGCATTTCTAATTGACATTCAAAAGCATTCCTTCTTAGTGTTCTAGGAGTCTGAGTCTAATCAAGTTGACAAGATTAACCATCACAGAACTGTATTGTTAAATTCATGAAATGGCAGGTTTTAAGTTACGCACTAAAAGTTGAATTATAGATAAAAACTTAATAGTTTGTGTGTGCTTTCTAATTAGATTACACCACCACCTTCGCTGTCAGATCCACTTAAAGAACTCTTTCGGCAACAGGAAGTAGTAAGAATGAAACTACGTTTGCAGCATAGTATCGAAAGGGTAAGATACCCTCAAATATAAATGTTTGCAAAAAAATAACCATTTACAAATATGTAAAAATGGCATATGGTGTTTCATTAGTGGAGATCGCCTGTTTACTATCATTTGGGGAGATGCTGTGATTTTGTTAGTCTTGTGCTCATCCAATTAAAGGGAGACTTACACTTATCTTAGGATACAGCTGCTTCCTGATTACAATTCATGCTGATATATATTTTTATATTTAAAATCTCTATGATGAATCACTATTAAATAATTTCTAGTAGAACATTCAGAATTGTAAGTTTTTGAGTGCTTTCTTGTCATACCAGCCACTTTAGAGCCAATGACAAAACCTTTGTTTATTCATCTTTTTGGTATGCCTTAGTGTCCAGTTTCCAGTAGTTTGTTTGCTTTGGTTTTTTGAGACAGGGTTTCTGTGTGTTAGCCTGGTTGTCCTGGAACTCACTCTGTAGACCAGGGTGGCTTCAAACTCAGAGATCCTCCTGCCTCTGCCTCCCAAGTGCTGGAACTAAATGCCTGCACCACCACTGCCCAGCTTGTAGTTAGTCTTGACGTGAGGGGGAAAAAAAAAGAAACTGGTGCTGGAGAGATGGTTCAGTGGTTAAGAAAACCATTTGCTGTTCTTGTAGAGGACATGAGTTTGGGCCCAGATGTGTGTATAGTGGCTCACAACCATCTAACTCATGTTCCAAAGGATCCAAAGCCCTCTTCCAGTCTTCCACAGGCAGCAGCCACACATGTGGTGCACATACATGACATGCAGGTAAATCAGTTAAGTAACGTTAACCCTGTTCCTAGAAGTCATACATATCATTTTTACATGGATTTATGTCCCTCATGTTGGATGTGGTGGCTCACACGCCTTTAATCCCAGCACTCCACAGGCAGAGGCAGGCAGATGGATCATTGTGAGCTCAAAGCCAGCCTGGTCTACATAACAAGATCCAGAACAGCCAGATCTACATAGAGGGGCCCTATCTCAAAACAGGACATGAATATATCCACATCCCCTTAACCTTGTGGCAAAGTTGTGTGGTCTCTAAAAGAATGCAAGCTATGACATTTCACAGAAATACACAAATACCTGTCTTTGATTTATATCCAACGTGTTCCCCACGGCAGAGGCCCTTAGCCTTTCTTGTACTTGGACCAGTTGAGAACCTTGGAGCCAGTTCTCAGACTGTGTTTCTAGGTGAGTAAAGTTGGTGTGATCATAGAGAGAAGGGGGAAGGAGAGCAGAGCGCTGGTGCAGGCTAGACCCCCTGACACAGTCCTGCTCGTCTTCACCCAACAGAGCAAGCAGAGCACACGTGCTCCCGGCCGGTCCTCAAAAGGCACTGTTTGCAAGTCTGTTGGTAGCACAGGTCTCAGGCATTCTTGTTGACACTGACAGCAAAAGTTTAGGGAACCAAGCAATACAAGCTCTAGCCAGGCTCAAGATGGGTTACAGTCTGCAGATGGATGTCTGTAGTTGCATGTAATAAGTGCCAAAGATGCGCTTTAAGGCCCATCCCAGCCCATAACTGGGAGTTTGAGACACTTGGCTCATTAAAGAGTATTTTTATTTCTATAAACAATACTATTGTCTCTATGGCTAGAGAGCTCAGCAGTTAAGAGCACTCCCTTTCAACACAAACATTGCAGCTCACAGTCACCTGTAAGTGCAAGTTCAAGAGATCCAGTGCCCCCACTTCTGACCTCTGCAAGCACAGGCACACAGGTGTAGTACACAAACACACTGTGAATGAGGGCAGACATCACATACATAAAAATAAATCTTCTAAGAGAGTCACAAGGGAATGCATACATCTGGAATACATACACAAGGGAATGACCATAACAAATGGCATAATAGAATACACTGAGAAATACATAAGGAAAATGGAACCATCATACATTATTGTTATCAGCGGCTATTGCAACAGTTTGACGGTCCCTCAACAGTTAACAGACTTGTGACCCAGCAATTTCACCCCTAGTTTGTTTCAGAAAAAAAATAAACAGAAGCTTAAGCATAAATGCTCATAACAGCTTTTCATAGTAACCCCAAAGAATAATGACTTTGAGGAAGGCAAACTATTGTCTCAGACCTGTTATAGCATTTCTGTCTGGGCATGCAAGTCAGAGGGACATAAGGCACAGCAACAAAAAGCATAAACATTATGATGAGGAAATGAAGACCCAAAGAAGTGGTAAAACCCTACTACTTTTATGTTAGGTTAGAGAAAGAAAGCTACAAAAGCAAAGGGGAGTGTGATGATAACTTGTTTGTGATAACAAATAAAGCTTGCCTGAGGTCAGAGTGCAAAGCCAGCACTAGTCGGCCATAGAGGCCAGGCAGTGGGAGCACACCTTTAATCCCAGCACTAGGGAGGCAGAGGTGGGCATATCTCTATTACACACATGGAGACTCTGTCTTGAACCACCCCTCCCTCTCCCACCCCCCAAAGAAGGATGTTCCGTTCCTCCTGCTGTGTGGAGGACATTTTTCTTTCACTTGGGAGTTTTATGTCCTCAGAGTGCCCTTACCCTGGTTGTCTTTAAAATGACTTCAGCTCTAAATAATCAGTATGCCAAATTAGCATGTGTTGAAATGGCATCATCTGCCACCCTTCAAATCCAAATGGTCAGCTAATGAATGGCATACATGAAATAATGCCTGCAGAAGAACATGGTTTGTCAGGAGCAAAGAAGTAAACACCTAGTACACACTACAGGATGGGTGAACCTTGAAAATACTAGACACTAAGTAAGGAAAATTGGTCACAAAAGGCAACAGGGTGTATGATTTTATTTGCAAACAATTGAATTTTCAGATCAAGTAAACTCATAGGGAAAAGGTAGATCACTGATAGCCAGCAGACACAAGGAAGAGTGACTGCTAATGCTGATATCCTTTCTGGCCTGGTGAACATGTTATGGGAATGGAAAGGGGATTTATTTATGATTTTGTATGCAGGAGGGTTTGCTGGCATGTATGTCTGTGCATCACATCCATGCCTGGTGTCTGGGGAAGTTAGAAGAGGGTGTTAATCCCCTGGAACTGGAGTTAACAGTTGTGACCCTCTATGTAAGGTACTGGGAGCTAAACCAGGTGCTCTTTACCGCTGATGCATCTCTCCAGCTCTGTCCGTACACTTTAAAAGCCAATTTAAGAAAGAAACTGCCAGTTTGGGAGAGGGAAGATTTTTCTAGAACACTTAGGAATTTTTTAAATTTCTCAAGCCTCCTACGAAGAAAATGGTACTCTCTGATTAAGATTATTTAGTGTAGCTCAAGTGACTTTATCTAATTTCACAAATAACTTTATGAATGTTTTTTAATTACTCTGTTCAACTAGGAAAAGCTTATTGTATCCAATGAACAAGAAGTTCTGCGAGTTCATTACAGAGCTGCGAGAACACTGGCAAATCAAACGCTGCCATTCAGTGCTTGCACTGTCCTACTGGACGCAGAAGTGTACAATGTGCCCTTGGACTCACAGGTAAAGTGCTGGCTGATACAGAGTGCTTTCAAGAATTATAACATTCTTAAAAAGATCTGCCTGCCTTCGAGGAAGACAGTTGAATTAAAATCAAAGAAGAAATGCAGGTCTTAAAAATGTTCCTGGAGCAGCTAGTCCTCTGTATTGTGAGTTGTTAGAACACCAGGTAGCCATCAGGACATGGGTGCACAGGCCTCATCCCAGAACTCGAGAGGCTGCAAACCCATCTCCTTAACAAAAATTCAGGACTAAGAAAATGACTTGGGTAAAGTGCTCACCATGCAAGTATAAGGTCCTGAGTTCAAATCCCAGAGCCCATGGAACACCAGACATGGTAGCACTCCTGGTGCTCCAGCAAGAGGAGAACACATACCTTCACTCACAGAGACTTTGTCTCAACTGAGTGTGAACTGTACGCGCGCGCGCACACACACACACACACACACACACTCACACTGTGGCATGCTGAGGGATGCCTAGCCACTGGGGAGCGTCGCATTTGAGGCTAAGCTAGACTACATAACAAAACACAAGCAAATATTTATATATTTTTGTTAGTACATTTATTTACTTGCCATGTGTATGCACACCTGCATGCCACAGTTGTGTGTGTGGTCAGAGCCAACTTGTAGGAATTGATCCTTTCCTAGCACATGGGTCCTGTGGCCTGAACTGGGCTTACTAAATTTGGCAGCAAGCAACTTTGCTTACCCAAGAATTTAAAAAATAAGTGAATTCCTCAGTAATCTCAGAATGATCTCAGAATTAGAGATGCAACAACACTGAAGCAGTGTCTCTAATAGTCAAAGACTAGAAAACACAGACATCTTCTAGAAGGCAGGTGTTTTCATACTCAAATGAAGACATCACTGCTTCTGACTCTTCACTTTCCTTAGATAGCCACCCAACTTCCTTTAATCTCTCCTAAACAAAGATACATTGTTGATGGAAGAGGCTTTGGTAATTTAAGTAATTTTATTATACCTTGCCCTAAGTTTTCCTAGTGAACCAGACCACCAGATTTTTTTTATCACTTTTTAATTTGAATTAGAAACAAGATTGATTTACATGACAATCCCAGTTTCCTTCTCCCTCCCGTCCTCCCCTACCACTGCCCCAGATTTTAAGATAAAATTTTAAGCTTAATGAAATTCCAGGAGTCGAAGTTATTCCCTTGACAAGGATACTCATCTGTAACCATTTTCAGTTGTAAGAACTGAATCCAGAAAGTCCGTTTACTGATGGCTTTAGGTAGGTCATCATAGCAGATTGATTTCCTATCAGATGGCCTCTGAAGAACCAAGGAAAGGGTAAATCATGCCTGTCCTTGCCAAAACCTCTCCTTCTGGCTTACCCTTTTCTCGATGAGCTTGTAATATTAAGCAATAAAATTGAAAGTGGCCGTGGAGAAAATGAAGCTGGTAAGATGTGAGTTGGTGAGTGTGAACCTGCCTGACATGCAGATGTTACCTTGACCACACTTGTAGATGGCAGGTACTCGAGTACTTTGTGTGTGCACAAATATTGTGATAAGAGCCTTGAACCTCTTTGAATTCTTAAAATATACTTGAGAGGGGATGGAGAGATGGCTCAAAGGTTAAGAGCTCTGAGTGCTCTTCAAGAGATCCTGAGTAGAGGTCCTGAGTTCAAATCCCAGAAACCATATGATGTCTCAGAACCATCTATGAGACCCGATGCTGTCTTCTGGCAGGCAGACAGACATGCAGACAGAGCACTGTATAATAGATAGATAGATAGATAGATAGATAGATAGATAGATAGATAGTAACTTTTCAGTGTATACCATAGAAAGCTGAAAATGTATAATTAGTTCAAAGTTACTCAGAAAGGTACAGAGCTGAAATTTAAATATATCTTAATTCCAAAACTAATACACTGATACTGAGAATTTTTTACTTTAATTTTTTTGTTCATGATGCATATTTAAGCGTATGTATGGAGGTCAGAGGGTGTGTGTGTGTGTGTGTGTGTGCGTGTGTGTGTGTGTGTGTGTGTGTGTACACAAACGTGGAGTTGGTTCTCATTTTCTCCTTTGTGAGTCCTGGGGATTAAGCTCATGTCATTAGGCTTGTGTAGCAAGTGCCTTTACTTGCTGAGCCATCTCACAGGCCTGATTTTAGAACCTTGAAAAGACTCATTCTGGAAGATAGGTGTCTCCCCCATGGTCACCTTTTCTCCCTCTGTGTGGTAAACTTTAACAAAGACACAGCAGGCTCAGCATCGCCTATGCCATGCTTTTCTGAGAAAGCTGGAGGACTCTACTTCATAACTAAACATTGTGTCTTATCTTCAGAATTCTATGATCACCCTATCTACTTGATATGGAAATAATGGCTTCATTACATTTTCTCTTTAGAAATACATTCCTATCAATAAAACTGAAGCATACATAATAAATGAGATATTATAAGTTTTCTTAGAAAGTGTTTTACTACATGTAACATTCTTTTTTAGTCTGATGACAGTAAGACTTCTGTGAGAGATCGATTTAATGCAAGACAGTTCATGTCCTGGTTACAAGATGTGGATGATAAATTTGACAAACTAAAGGTGGGTATGTTTACATGGTAGTTATTTGTTGTTCATTCTAAGACATGTTCTCATGTCTCCCAGACCAGCCTTGAACTTGGGAGTTCAGCTCCTTGTGCCTCCGCTTGATTCTGGATTTTAGGCATGCACCACCATGCTGGTTGTGTGTGGTACTAGAGATTGACCTCAAGTGTTTGCCAAGCCAGTGCTCTACCAGCTGAGCTGCCTCCCTTTAAGTCAAGTGAAGTGGATGCTTCCCTCAGGACTGGAGTAGTGGTTAACTGCGGGGATCCAGTGCCCTCTTTGGGCTCCTGTTCTCTACAGGCGCTGGGCACACATGGGTACACACATGTCGCAGAGCTGGAGAGCGGGCTCAGTGACAGAGAGCGCACACTGTTTTTGGAGAGGACTCAAACCCCGTATTAATTGTCTCACACCACCTGTAACTCGAGCTTCAGGGGAATCTGGTACCTCTGGCCTCCAAAGGCACCTTTCCTTCCCTGCAGGTACCCACACCAGACACCTGTACATAATTAAAAATAAATCTTTAAGAAAAGAACTACTAGGCTGGAGAAATGTCTCCGTGGTTAAGAGCAATGGCTGCTCTTCCAGAGGACACATGTTCAATTCCCAGCAACCTTGTGGCAGCTCACACCTGTCTGTAATTCAAGTTCCAATGGATCTGAGTCCCTCACACCGACATACATGCAAGCCAAATACCAACATACATAAAAATTAAATGAATAAGTAAATGAAATTACTTTAAAAAGATCTACTGTGACACACAGTTCTGAAGTGCCACAGAAACAGTTTTGTGTATCTTTGTACTCGTTATCCAGTATCCCTGTCTACCAGAAGAAGAACAGAATGGGGCTGGAGAGAGGGCTCAGAGGTTAAGAGCACTGGCTGCTCTTCCAGAGGTCGTGAGTTCAATTCCCAGCAACCACATGGTGGCTCACAACCATCCGTTATAAGACCTGGTTCCCTCTTCTGGTGTGCAGATATACATGGAAGCAGAATGTTGTATTCATAATAAATAAATAAAATTTAAAAAAAAAGAAGAAGAAGAGAATGATAAAACAAGTACATTCTGCATGTGGTGCACACTTACAATCCAGGAAGGTTTCTACAAATTTGAAACCAGCCTCAACTACATAGCAAGACCCTGCCCCCCCCCCCATTGGCTTGAAATCTTAAAGCATTTGTGTCTAGATTTTATAATTATTTCAGTAATTTGAAATCTTGTAATTTTAAAAAATATTAGCAAGCCCAAATTAAAAAGATGCCTATGAAGTGGCAGACCCAGGAGTAGGGGCGCGCTGAGTGACAGGGGACAGAGGAGACTTTGTGGTGTGAACTGCTTCTTACTCCTCATGTGTCTGTCTTGGTCCCAACAAAACCGTGGATGAAATTAATTTAAAACATCAAACACAACAGATTAATCAATTTTTCTCTTTTTTCAAATAGACCTGTCTTTTAATGAGGCAGCAACACGAAGCTGCAGCTTTAAATGCCGTTCAGAGACTAGAATGGCAGCTAAAACTCCAGGAACTGGATCCTGCCACCTACAAGTCCATCAGTATTTATGAGATCCAGGAGTTTTACGTCCCTCTTGTTGATGTCAATGATGACTTTGAATTGACTCCTATATAGCAGTTGGTATTTGTGTTGGCATCATCTTAAACTAACAATACAAGCGTTAAACTGTGGAATACTGCCTTTTAAGAAAAACCCTGACAATAGCCTTTACAGTTGTTAGTGAAGTTAACTAAAGTTGCTTGTGTAGTGAACACTGTCATTTTATAAAAATAAAGAAAAATATTTTGGATCTTAGGTCCAAGTACAGTTTCTAACAGAAAACTATTATTTATATTGATCAAAGGTAACTATTACATTAGAACATGTTGGCAAACTGAGTAGAACTTTAAAAAGTTGAGAAAATCTGTTAACAGCGCTGGAAGTTGTTAGCACTCAAGTAACAAGATAACCAACCACAAGTACTCAGAGCTCTTGCGGGTTTTATTAAAAGTACATGAGTAAACTCAAGGATTTAATTCCTACCAAATAGTTTCTAATGTGGAAGAAAACCTTGACACAGAGTTCTTCAGTTTATCTTATCTGTAAATTAATTGTACAGTTTTCTTTTTTGAAAGTTTTAATATTGTCTTCCTTTTTAATAACTTATTTTATACATATTGTACATCTTGTAATTAAGGGTCTATGTATACAAGGGAACCGCCCTCAAACGTGTACAGAGATGACTGTAAAACTTGGTTCTGTTGGAGTGGTACTAGCAGTGTGTTCAGCTTGTGAAGCTTTCAATAGGGCATGCGTGTGTTTGGGTTAGCTTGCGTCCATCCCATAACTGTCAGATTGGTGGCTTACTTGTGTCGCATGCTTTTTATAGTTTAACTCTTTGTGTAACTGATGCCTGAGACAGTTTCCTGCAGGAGAACCGGGGCTTTCTCTGTGGGCCACACTGACAGAATTAGTCATCAGAGAAGCGCTAGCTCTCTGCATCTCCCTGGAGAAGCCTGCTTCCCCCAGAACAACAGCCAATGCCTTTGGATGGAAATTGTGAAATTATAAATGTCTATTTTAGTACTCAGCTATGAAAGGATCTGTGAATATGTGTAAATACGTTTAATAAATTTTATTGGTCATGTTAAATCATTGTAAACTTTCTTACATTGCTTAAATTTAGTCTTTTAAGCTTAATAGCCTTTGCACTTTTAAAATAAAAATTGAATGCTCAAATCAAAATAAGATACTTCGTAGTCAAAAAGTAACAGTCTTAGGAATGTTCCAGTCCCTGAAATGTTCATGAAGTTTTTATTAATATGTTGTATTTTTCCTTGTATCGAGATGCAAAATGTGTAGTTTGCAAAATTTCATAACTGAAATAAGATTTGGTATGCTTTTTATAGTAAACTAAGGAGCAATATCCGTAGAACAATATGTCTTATGACACGATACAGATTGGATGTTCAGGAAAGCTGCAGACGAAACCTGCTGGTCAACCTGTGAAACACTCAGAAAGGAAAAGTAGATTAATCAGAAAACATCCTAAGTACATAGGGTAAACATTTATGAACCCTGCCACAATACTAAGACTGGATATTTCCTATTTTGGTAAGGAAAGATAAAAAAATGTGAATTAAATGGTTGAAATTCAGCTCACAAGTTGGAAATCCCAGCTAGTAAAAGAAAATACTTGGTTTTTCAGTGCAAAGGTGCATATTAAGCTTAGAGATGTTTGAATTTTTACATCAGTTTATATTTCATTCTTACTGTACTGGCATGCGCAATACAGTAGCAGCACGTGAGAAATACACAGTTGGAGGATTTAACGAAGGTGGATGTAGTGTTCTTAGAAACTTAGATGAAAGACTTTGGCCTTTTCATTGAATTAAATGGGGCCAGAAAGGCAGGGTAGACTTTGAAGCACTGGTTTTTGTTGAAGTTATGTTTATTAAGGCTGGAAACATTGGAAGCTAATTTATAAAAGCAATACTTTTTACTACAAAAACAACTTAATGCAAAGTTTGTTTATCTTTTATCCTAGAAAGGAAATTTGATGAGCTTATGTGGCAAATTACAAAAATGAAACAGGACGATTTAAACGTTTAAGAGAGCAGGAGAAAAGTAATCTGTGAATCGTTTTTTGGTGATTGTTCAGCCAGGAGGAGGTTTAGGAAGTGGTCCTGAGCAAACAGAACCAGCTGTCGTGGGGGTGGGGGGGAGGTGGGGGTGGGGAGTGGGGAAGAGCTTGACAGAAGCAGGAACAGCCCTCAGTCAGCCCAGCTTTCCAGTCCTACCCCAGTGCTCACTCTCATGGTAGCTCAAACAGCTGCAGCCTCTGCCACAGCTGTGCTGGCACACACTCCCTTCTGCAGCCATCAGGTCAGCTCAGTCACTGTGCTTCATAGGAAGTGTGAGTTAGTACACAGTTAGGACTCTTGATGTCAGACTTTCTGAAGGTCTAAAATACTAGAGGGAAAATCTCAGAATGGAGTATATATATGCCTAAAAAGATTGGGTTCTCAAAAATAAGGATGCTGAATTTAATCAGTGATTCTTTTTAAACTATTAAACATCATGAACAAGATATTAAATTGTACCTAAGGATTTGTATTTAAGTCTTGTTCTAAATCATATCTGTTTAATAAATGACTAGTTAATATTTGTGCATGTTATTTAATAAAGAGTTATATTTTTATAGAAAAATAAGAGTGAAATGTGTGCTAAGTGTTTTTTACATAATGTTCCACTCCTGTGTAATTAAGTGAAACACCAGTGTTTACTTGGGCCTCCAGCAAGATTGCAGAAATACTCGTCTTGTGGAAACAATCCCATTCCAATCAACCGAGTAAGGAGAGGTCTCACAAATGCATTGTAAGTAGGAGGCACGCTGCACAATCCCCAAAGCCCATGCACCTCATTTGAGGGGCACATGGCATCTCGTGGTCCAGGAAGCCCAGTGCAGGGTGAAACCGTTTCCTTTCTTTTTCAGAAGGTTAGCAATGTCTTTAACTCTACCTCTACTGCTCTCACATGTAAACGCCCAAAACTTCACACAAAGGCTATTGACTAGTTAATGGAAACATTTCACCACTAAAAAGAAAAGAAACATATGTTTTTCACCAGGTAGATGGCTCATGCCTATAATCCCAGCATTTGGGAGACTGAGTCAAAGCCAGATTGATTGGATCATTATGAGACCGTCTCAATAAAATCAGTAAACGTTCCAAATAATAATAATAATAATAATAATCTTAGGATATGTGTGTGAGGTTTAATGGTTAAAATTTGTTTTGTTTTTTTTGAGATGGGGTCTCAATATGTAGCCTTGGCTGGCCTGGCCTGGTACTTGCTATGTAGACGATACTAACTTCAAACTCAGAGATCCACCTCACTCTGTCTTCCAGGACTAAAGGTGTTCGCCACCACACCCAGCTAAAGTTTCCTGTAATCCATTATCTTGGTGGCTTCTTGGAAGTCTTGTATGTGCTTACGAGGGAGTTTAAGACCCCACAGAAATGAAAACTAGGGTTCATAAGAGAAACTCAGCCACATGAAGTAAACAATCCCATTAACTCAAACTGCTCTAACTATAGAATTTCAAGTATTAGCACAAAAGTAGCAAATACAGCGGGAAGGTCAGCCAGTTTCTCCTGTGAGTAATGTACACAGTATCCACAGTAACATAGGTTCGATCCTGAGGCATACTTCTGCCAGAGAAAAGTCTGCTCACGCTGGGACCAGTGTTACTACATGCAAACCTAAGAAAGCACATTCGTCATGTTTTTTTTAAATACATTTTTTAAAAAGTGGTTACTCTATCCACATCTTCAACTAGTACCAGACAAAAAGCCTTTATGTAGCTAGCTAACCACCCCCACTCGATTTTTAGAATGACGTTACATACCTAGGATAGGGTCACAGATTAATAGTCACCGCTTGTCACCACACATTCAGCTTTACATTTGTCAGTAGTTTTTTTTTTTTTTTTAAATGGGTCTGATTTAGATCTAATTTTTTAAACAACCCAGACCTAAGTAAGCAGTTTGCTAGCTCCTTGTTACAAGTACCCAAATGAACACAAAAAGTTTTCATCACCCCACAAAGTCCCTCATGCCTCAGTCCTCTGTGTCCCCCAGAGGCAGCCAGCGGGTTGCTTGCCTTCACTCTGTGTTAGTCCTACCTAGTCTCAGACTTCGTGGAAATGAACTCATGTAGCATATACCTTGTGTCTGCCTTCCTTCTTAAGCAGATTTTTGGAATTCATATGTGTTTCGTATATCAGTAACAAGTAGTAATTTTTAACAAATAGTGTAATTGTACAAATGTGTTCTCTCTGTTCTTAGTGTTTGGATTGTTTACAATTGGGATATTGTGAATAAACATATGGACATGGAAACCTTAACTGTGAATCTACTGTTTTTATTTCTCTTAGGTATTTGCTGTCACAGCTTAGGTTAGTGTTTATCTGTGGTAGAAAATGACAGTTCTCCAACATGAATGCGCCATTTATTACCACTATAGCCATGTATGACAGAGGAGTTGCTCGGAAGCCTGTCTGAAACTTGGTGATATTGGGTCTAGCATCCAGGATGCCCTGGGTTTACTCCTAGCCCTGGAGAGGTGAGGAATGGGACCAGAGACATTGCCAGTCAGTTTTAGCCAGTTCAGTGGGTGGAGAAAACCTTGTGCAGTAATTAATACCTTGTGCTTTTCATTTGTATTCTTCCAGCAGCTATCTGTATATGCCATTTTAGCTTTTTTGTTGTTTTGTTTTGAGACAGGGTCTCTTGTGTGTAGCCCTGGCTGTCCTGGAACTCACTATGTAGACCAGGTTTGACCTCAAAGTCACAGCGATCCGCTGGGATGAAAGGTGTGCTTCACCATGCCTGATCTCATTTTGTTTTTTTTAAATCTTCAAGCACTTTTCTCATTTCATTCTAAGCTGTGTTTTGGTATGTTGGTGGTCTTCTCTGTGTTGACAGATAAGGACTCCATGGATGTTTTCATCCAGTGTATGGCTTCCCTGTTTTCTTAGTGACTAGTTTCCTTATCCCTCCTCCTCCTCCTCCTCCTCCACCACCATCTCCTCCTCCTCCTCCTCCATCTTAGTGCTTTATTTCTGTGGCCACATTATCGTTATAGGCGGAGCTTTACTCAGCCTTCTATGCTGTACACACTCCCATGTATATAAAACACGTGTCACCTGGCACAGCACATGCTCTTGTGCTGGCGATTTCATGGAGAGGTATGAGCATCAATGAAAACAGCCGGAAGCCATGCTGTGACCCAAAGCTGATGGTCATGTCAGTGTTCCAGGCCTGGAGGACAGCCTTCCTAGGGAAGGAAGAATGCTGCGGGTGGAGGAGTTGTTTGCTCCTTTAACATTATGTCATTTTCTAAAAGTCACTTCCTGGTCATTTGAAGACTACCAGTTCAGTGATGTAGATGTTCAGATATTGACACATTGCACTTTTGAGGCCAGTGACATGGTCCTCGGGTAAGGGTGCCCACCCCCAAGCCTGGAGGCCTGAGCTCAGTCCCTGGAACGAACAACATGGAGACAGAGAACAGACTCCCATACTGCACTCTCTGGCTTCACGGGTGTGCCAGGCACTTCCAGGCCTACACGGAAATCCACACTTGGTATTGTCGATGGAAACAGCTTTCACTCCAAAATAGAGCCGTCTCCAAATACGAATGACTCTGGCCTGTGGATTCAAGAGCCCAAATGATTTGTTTCACTGGAGAAATGGTTAAGGTCAACTCTTCATAGAATGCATTCACCAAACACTGAGGACATCAAGTAGATGGGTTGAGATTAAGTGGGGAGCCTCTGCCGTAGGTTGGCCCACTAAGTTAAGATCTCCCAGTCAGAAGGGGGCATGGTCAGTGCTGAGATGACCGTAATCAGCTCTCATGGGGACTTGGGACTGCCCCTTGACCACTGTACTCGGTGCGCAGCGTTGCATGGCCACACGAGTACTAGTTAGTCTGCTGAGTCCTTGGCAGAAGTTTTCTCATTTGGATCTGAAACACCGTAAGTATTGGAGTTTCTGCCCAGGGACAGCTCTTCCACGGTTTGGCTTTCATTCACAAGGGTTACCTGCAGCAGTGTTCACTGCTGATTCGTTTTCTTAAAGGGACAGGCTCCCACAGGCATGTCCAACCACCCTGGCATTGTAACATGCCATCTACAATGATCTCACTTGAGAACCACGTAGTCAAGGCTATTGAGTCTTGGTTTGCCTAAGCACATAAAGATACCTTAAATTTTTAAAGTAATTTTATGATTTTTGTGTTGAGCCCAACCCATATGCATACTATCCTGGATTGTGTGTCTACCAAAAAGCCAAGATGTGACAACAGTTAGCCTGGAGCTCATCCAAGGGGTTTCTCCAGAGTATACAACAAAAGCATCTTATGTTTTCCTCGATTTTGTTAGGCAAAACATTTAAGAAGTGGAGATTGGAGGGTTGGGATGTGCTACAAGTATGTTCCCTGCAGGTATGTCTGTGTCAGAAGAGCTCACTAGATTCTTAGAACTGAAGTTACGGGGATGGCATGAACTGCCTGCCGTGTGTGTGTGTGTGTGTGTGTGTGTGTGTGTGTGTGTGTGTGTGTGCGCGTGTGTGTGTGTGCTGGAAATTGAGCCATAGTCCTCTGGGAGAGCAGTTCTTCGCCAATGGACAAGCTACCTAACCCCTGTAGTTGGCTTTTGTTTTAAACTGAGAGCATGGCAAAAGAAACTTTAAGACCACAGTTGGATGTTATCTTCCTTTGTGTTAGACCTGGGGACGGCTTAATCTCGACTTTCCGTGGCAGACCATCTCAGGGCCCCAGATGGAGACTCAGAGTGCACATTTGGAGACCTGCTGGCCTAGATTGGAACTTCTGAAAAATATCAACTCAAAATGGTTGCAAGCTTACAGAGACTTGCTGTGTGAATACGCAGTAAGGGAAGGGACAGACAGGAGCTGCTTTTGTGTTTTCAGTATTGGTTTGGGCAACTTGAAAATTAATCATCCACATTGTCAGCAGCAAACCTCCCCCACTCCCCAACCCGAACGCACCCATGCACCCATGCACGCACACCCCACATGGCTTCAAGAGAGCTAATACCATAAACGGACATGCTTTTGTAAAGCACAGTTTTGACTGTTAGAAAACTTCCTCCAGAAAGCTTAAGCCCAGCCCGTGGGATACCATCGCCCCTGGAGTAATGATAGTATTAACTACACTATGACAGTCATTTAGCCGTTTCCTGCACAAACTGGGTCAAACCGTGAGACCCTTGGGGCCCCTTTCCTGTACCTTGTGCTTCTCAGGTCAGTAACTGCAAGAGGATAGGCCTAGTGAGTCCTCCCATGTCCCCAGCCACCCACCCTCTCACTCTCCAGCTGCACCCTGCAGCTCCACCCCTGTAGCTCCACCCCTGCGGCTCCACCCCCAGTCTCCACCCTTGTGGACACCCAGAGTGGGCAGCAGGCTGCAGTTTTGGAGGGGCTGACACGTTGGATGTCTGAGGTCTCCCTGTCCTAGGTAGAGGCTGAGTTAGGGACCTTGCACAGAGGCAGAGTTGGCAGCCAAATCACCTTTACAAGGCTTCTCAAAAACAAATGCAGAGAAGGCCGAGTGAAGAGCACAGGGGTCCAGACCAGGCTGGTGAAATCCACAGAAACAGCTGACCTGAGCATCAGAGAACTCTTGGTCCCCAGACTGATAACTGGGATACCAAAATGGAACTGAACCAGACCTCAGAAAGATGGGTTTCAATGAGGAAACCTCGGAAATCTACAGGACGTCCTGTAGTAGTTCAGTACTTATCCCTAGCATAGGTGTGGACTTTGGGAGTCCATTCCACATAGAGGAATACTCCCTGAGTCAAGACACACAGGGGTGGGCCTAGGCCCTATCCCAAAAGATACAATAGAATCTGATGACACCCTATGGAAGGCCTCACCATCCAGGGGGAGCGGAAAGGGTATGTGATAGGTAGGGTTTTAGTTGGGGGGGGGGTGTTAGGTGAGGAGGGGAGGGAGAGGGAACTGGGTTTGACATGTAAAACAATCTTGTTTCTAATTCAAATTTTAAAAGTTGGAAAAAAAAAAAAAACACTATTGTCAGCCCAGAAGTGGCAGACGCTGAGGCTGTCCTCAGGGCACTCGCTCGCTTGCTCTCCAGAGTTCCCAGAGAAAGGCTCTTCAGGTAATGTTCCCAGGGCCACTGTGGCACCAAAGCAGCAGTAACAACGACTGCAATGTAGCCACTCAGAAGAACACCCAGCCTGGCAGAATATGATCATGAGTCTAAAGCGAAGCCTTCGGCTTCAGCCTGCAGACCTTAGGTCACTGTTGTGTCAGAACCCAGGTCCTGTGTTGTAGGGCTGAGGCAGCCTTGCTTGACGGGCTGGCAGCCAGTAGCTGCTCTAAACTTGTAAAGGTGACCCTCATCTGTGCGTGAGGTGCCTTCCACCTACAGGCCTCTAACGCTGCCCAGCTCCTCCTCCTGCACTGGATCTGGCTCTGCCATTCATAACTGGTGAAGTCTGGATTCAAACTTGAGAGACTTTTGTCAGGCACCTCCAATAATCTCACCGCAGCCTCATGGTGGCTGAAGACAGCAAAGGGGGTGGGGACGGAGAGGATAAAAGAAGTACTTGCAAAAAGGAGAAAAAGTAGATTGTGTTTACAGAGCGAGACCCTGTCTCAAAACAAATAGCCAATTACCAGATTTTCATAAAGCACTGCTGGTACAGCTCCTCGCCCAGCATGACATCACTTGCTACCTGAAACAGAATGACCTAGAGAAAGAGCTCAGTCAGCCATTTCCTTTCACTACCTGGCCACAAAAGCTTACACCTGTGTGTGCCCCGAATGTTGGCAGGGGCCGGGGTCTGTCTCTTAAAGAAGTAGAGCCGATAGGCATTAATTCCTGAACCTTTCAAAGATTAAAATTGGAAGATCCCTACAGATTTTTGGTTGGTTGGTTGGATGGTTTTGAGGCAGGGTGTCTCTAAGTAGCCCTGGCTGTCCTGGAGCTTACTAAGTAAAACCAGCTGGACGGGAACTCATAGAGATCTCTTTTTAATTTACTTTTTTTTTTTTAAGTTTTGTTTTTTTCGAGACAGAGTTTTTCTGTGTAGCTTTGGAGCCTGTCCTGGCACTGGCTCTGGAGACCAGGCTGGCCTCGAACTCACAGCGATCCACCTGCCTCTGCCTCCCGAGTGCTGGGATTAAAGGCAAGCGCCACTTATCCTGCATTTGTTTAATGATGTAAGGATGTGAGTTTAATTACATAAAGATGTGTAGCATCTGTTTCACCTTGCCTGCCTAAGGCACCTGATTGGTCTAATAAAAAGCTGAATGGCCAATAGCTAGGCAGGAGAAAGGATAGGCGGGGCTG